AGACAGACAGACAGACAGACAGACAGACAGACAGACAGACAGACAGACAGACAGACAGACAGACAGACAGACAGACAGACAGACAGACAGACAGACAGACAGACAGACAGACAGACAGACAGACAGACAGACAGACAGACAGACAGACAGACAGATAGATAGATAGATAGATAGATAGATAGATAGATAGATAGATAGATAGATAGATAGATAGATAGATAGATAGATAGATAGATAGATAGATAGATAGATAGATAGATAGATAGATAGATAGATAGATAGATAGATAGATAGATAGATAGATAGATAGATAGATAGATAGATAGATAGACATAAAACACCTGGACATTGTTTACTTCTATTATATTTTATGATTCGAGTTAAAAACAATAATCTTAAAATACCATTATTTCATTTATCTAAAGACATTCTAAGCCTTTACCGCATGACAATAGCCAGTGGCAGCCAACGTGCACTGGATCGCAAATTATTCCTCCCCACGCCGCGTAACTTCAGAAGTGGTTTATGAATATGATGATGATGATGATGATGATGATGATGACATTTATGTTACATCTCAGATCTCACACTCATTTCTATGAATGCATTGTCTACTGTCAGTCAGGGCAGCAGTTGATATCTGTTACCTTCGTTTTTTCAATAGGATTTAGTGTGCAGCGTGTCTTACGTAATTCAGCCATGGTATGTTACACCAGAGTTGCAGCCAGGTCGAGTATTCTGTGCTACTCCCAAAGCATAGGGCTCGTTCTGCCTAAGTAGTAGCAACAGGAGAGTGAAACAGCCACAGAGATGATATTTCATCAGTTGAAACAGAACAAGAGAGGATATACAAAACAACTGCATTATAACAATCTTCAATAAAATTACAGAAATTTTTTCCCCCACAAAAATCCAGACAGCCATAAGTAATCTTTATGTAGAAAGTTGTTTCTAGCAAATACAAAATGCACATAACTAATTTTCGTGTATTTGATCACTGTGTTTTTTGGTTAACCACTTGGAACATACCTGTCACATACATGTCACATACTGCTAGTGTCATGTGTCTTTATTAGGGTTTCCCCTAATGAATCAAATGGCACTCTGAATAAGTTTTTAATGTTGAGATGTTGGCTCGCAATGGTCTAGGCGGAATCCCGCAGCTCCAATGAACATCCGGCCTACTTCAGGGCGACTCAAAATATGGCACTACAGAATACGTGAACATCTCTAGGCATAAATTGGCCTGACTTCCTCACTAAATTAAACCCCCAGACTAGATAGTACTCCTATACTAGTAAAATAAATCACAGTAAAACATGCAGTATAACATTACTACAAACACACCAGACAACTAGGAACTGTGGAAGATGGTCACTAAAAACAGAATGTAAAAATTACAAAACATCGTGTAATCAGTGCAACTCTTATAGGAATAAAAGAAAAGGAATTCAGCAAAGTCAATTGGCACTGAGGAAACAACGACAAGTTATGACAGATACGCGCATGAGTTGCCTCTTGTAGCAGCCAACGTTATCACTGCTAACATTAATGATCATAATCCAGTTTTGTCTTTTTTAGGACAAATTTTTTTGTTATTTGAAGCCCCACCCTGGCTTTTGCCAGGGGCCCCAATATAGCCAGGCCAAAAATATGGCCAATTGTTTGAACGCGGTTTCTGGTACCTCTCCACGGCGATCCTCATCCACATGGTGGCACTTTGTGTCATCGGGTGTTTATCGCTTTGTGATGTCCTGGTGGGGTAGAAAGTCAGTTAGTCATCACTGCTAAGATATGGAATAATGGAACCAGGGAACTGGCACTTAGGTATAAGATTAACCGCAGGTGCTAGCGTTGACTGACTGACTTCAGCAAAGAGTTGTAATGCAGTGGATACCATCACAATGTGGAGTGCCTGGAAATGAGAAAGCTGATCAACTGGCAGGAGAAGGTGCGACAAAAGTGCAGCCGGATGTACCAGTCACATACCACCAAAAGAAAAGAATCATTAAATCAATCAGAAAACCACCAGCCCCAGCACAAGACGACTATTTTATTATGGACAAATCAGAACAAGTCATTATCCTCCGCCTCAGAACAGGGCACAACCGATTGCGTAACCACATGTACACAAAATTCAATATAGGCGTATCAGCCATGTGTACCTGTGGAAAGGTGCCCCAGACAGCAGAGCATGTACTCCAGGACTGCACCAAATTTGACACATTAAGGAAAACCTTTTGGCCAGAAAGAACAACAGTGGAACGTAAACTCTATGGACCACTGAATGAACTAACAACAACAGTGAAATTTATACAAGAAACAAAATTGCTGATACAGACAAATAATTTCAGGCGAACGAAAGAAGAAGAAGAAGAATGCACTAACCTGTAGTTCAGTGTGGGTGGGACTCTAAGAACATGCACTAACCTGTAGTTCAGTGTGAGTGAGACTCTAAGAACGTGCACTAACCTGTAGTCCAGTGTGGGTGGGACTCTAAGAACATGTACTAACATGTAGTCCAGTGCGGGTGAGACTCTAAGAACATGCACTAACCTGTAGTCCAGTGTGGGTGGGACTCTACGAACATGTACTAACCTGTAGTCCAGTGCGGGTGAGACTCTAAGAACATGCACTAACCTTTAGTCCAGTGTGGGTGGGACTCTAAGAACATGTACTAACCTGTAGTCCAGTGTGGGTGAGACTCTAAGAACATGCACTAACCTGTAGTCCAGTGTGGGTGAGACTCTAAGAACGTGCACTAACCTGTAGTCCAGTGTGGATGAGACTCGAACATGCACTAACCTGTAGTCCAGTGTGGGTGGGACTCTAAGAACGTGCACTAACCTGTAGTCCAGTGTGGATGAGACTCTAAGAACATGCACTAACCTGTAGTCCAGTGTGGGTGGGACTCTAAAAACGTGCACTAACCTGTAGTCCAGTGTGGGTGAGACTCTAAGAACATGCACTAACCTGTAGTCCAGTGTGGGTGGGACTCTAAGAACGTGCACTAACCTGTAGTCCAGTGTGGGTGAGACTCTAAGAACATGCACTAACCTGTAGTCCAGTGTGGGTGGGACTCTAAGAACGTGCACTAACCTGTAGTCCAGTGTGGGTGGACCTCTAAGAAAACGCACTAACCTGTAGTCCAGTCTGGGTGGGTCTCTAAGAAAATGCACTAAACTGTAGTCCAGTGTGGCTGAGACTCTAAGAACGTGCACTAACCTGTAGTCCAGTGTGGGTGAGACTCTAAGAACATGCACTAACCTGTAGTCCAGTGTGGGTGGGACTCTAAGAACAAGCAGTAACGTGCAGTTCAGTGTGGGTGAGACTCTAAGAACGTGCACTAACCTGTAGTCCAGTGTGGGTGGGACTCTAAGAACATGCACTAACCTGTAGTCCAGTGTGGGTGGGACTCTAAGAAAACGCACTAACCTGTAGTCCAGTGTGGGTGGGACTCTAAGAAAATGCACTAAACTGTAGTCCAGTGTGGCTGAGACTCTAAGAACGTGCACTAACCTGTAGTCCAGTGTGGGTGAGACTCTAAGAAAATGCACTAACCTGTAGTTCAGTGTGGGTGAGACTCTAAGAACATGCACTAACCTGTAGTCCAGTGTGGGTTGGACTCTAAGAACAAGCAGTAACGTGCAGTTCAGTGTGGGTGAGACTCTAAGAACGTGCACTAACCTGTAGTCCAGTGTGGGTGGGACTCTAAGAACATGCACTAACCTGTAGTCCAGTGTGGGTGGGACTCTAAGAACATACAGTAACCTGTAGTCCAGTGTGGGTGGGACTCTAAGAACGTGCACTAACCTGTAGTCCAGTGTGGGTGAGACTCTAAGAACATGCACTAACCTGTAGTCCAGTGTGGGTGGGACTCTAAGAACGTGCACTAACCTGTAGTCCAGTGTGGGTGGACCTCTAAGAAAACGCACTAACCTGTAGTCCAGTCTGGGTGGGTCTCTAAGAAAATGCACTAAACTGTAGTCCAGTGTGGCTGAGACTCTAAGAACGTGCACTAACCTGTAGTCCAGTGTGGGTGAGACTCTAAGAACATGCACTAACCTGTAGTCCAGTGTGGGTGGGACTCTAAGAACAAGCAGTAACGTGCAGTTCAGTGTGGGTGAGACTCTAAGAACGTGCACTAACCTGTAGTCCAGTGTGGGTGGGACTCTAAGAACATGCACTAACCTGTAGTCCAGTGTGGGTGGGACTCTAAGAAAACGCACTAACCTGTAGTCCAGTGTGGGTGGGACTCTAAGAAAATGCACTAAACTGTAGTCCAGTGTGGCTGAGACTCTAAGAACGTGCACTAACCTGTAGTCCAGTGTGGGTGAGACTCTAAGAAAATGCACTAACCTGTAGTTCAGTGTGGGTGAGACTCTAAGAACATGCACTAACCTGTAGTCCAGTGTGGGTGGGACTCTAAGAACAAGCAGTAACGTGCAGTTCAGTGTGGGTGAGACTCTAAGAACGTGCACTAACCTGTAGTCCAGTGTGGGTGGGACTCTAAGAACATGCACTAACCTGTAGTCCAGTGTGGGTGGGACTCTAAGAACATACAGTAACCTGTAGTCCAGTGTGGGTGGGACTCTAAGAACAAGCAGTAACGTGCAGTCCAGTGTGGCTGGGACTCTAAGAACATGTAACCTGTATTCCAGTGTGGGTGGGTTTCCAAGAACATGCAGTAACCTATGGTCCAGTGCGGGTGGGTTTCTAAGTTCATGCAGTAACCAGTAGTCCAGTGTGGGTGTGTTTCTATGAACATCCCTCAGATTTGAAACAGGGGGAAAAGCCTGGTCTGCTTACAGTAGACTTTCCTAGCCTCCCACCCCCACCCCCTTTTTCTTCTTTCCGTGTCAGTCATTTATTAAACCAGTCACTTTGCAAATTTTGTTTTTTTGCTTCTAGTAACATTTCTCTAAATGACACCACCACCATGAGCCAATAATCATGGAAATTTTATCTTTAAAGTATTCTTTACTGAAAACTTTACAATCCTAGTTTCCATTTCTTGTGTTTGTTTTCATAAACTTGTGCTGTATATCTGCGATTATCTTTTTGAAACCCTGACAAAAATCTTTGTTCATGTTGAAGTACACGAAAAAATTTAATACAGAATGTATTAAAAATAAGAACATCAATGGCATGAATACAGACAATGGAAATGAGTCCACACTACTGATGAGAATAGCTAAAACTGCAGGATAAGTGCACACAACAAAGATGCCACACATTGTGGCGAAAAATGTCACACTTTTCCACGCTGCCACTCTACTGTGATTGAAGTTTTCCCTATTCAATGTGTCCCCATTTAAACCCAGTTGTCTAGCGTGGCTGGCTTTCTTACGCTGAAAAGCCAAACGAGCTATTCGGAAATAGCAAACAAACATTAACACAATTTCCACGTGATAAAGCACGACAGGGACAACTATATATTCGAAGGGTGGCCTGGCAATCAAACAAATGTTATCATTTGATGTACTTCTGTACATAATTACTGGGATTATGCCATAAACCAGCCCCACAATCCAAAAACATGCTATTATCGTATACACCCGTCGCTTTGTAATATGTGCTATGTAATACAGTGGGTTGACAATGTGGATGTAGCGATCCACTGCGATGAAACCCAACTGGCTGACAGACAAAAGTAGAGAAGAGTATCCTGCGCCACAAGTAGATGCCTCTAGGAAAGGGTTGGGCCGCATGGTATTCCTTACCCCGGGTAAGTAGATAATTCCGTCACCGATATAAACAAGAGCTAAGTATATGTCCCCACAAGCAATGGAGGCCAAGACTATATTGGCATGTGTGTGGAGTTTTGGGGTACGGTGGATAATAATAATGGTAAGCAGGTTTTGAAATAGGACAAGGACGCCAAATGGAATTGAAAAAAATTGCAGGGGTAACCCACCAATAGTAAAATGATGTACACATAAGTACGTTATGTTTCCGTCCATCCTGTGCAATATAGCAACAACACGATTATCCAAATGTGCTTAAAAGGGCATGTTTGTTCTCTGGTTGTTTCATTTGTGTATTGGTTGTTTCATTAGTTCATATACACTGAAACAACGCCGTGTGGTTGTTGTAGAGACTTGCCTGATCACGTCCCAAAGCTCCCTCTTGCGACATTACCTGTTTATCTTTTTCAAGCTCGCAACCCTTTGGCGATTGTTAAACGTGTAATGGAGATCAAAATATGAGAAAGAGTATTTTTACGACGGAATTTCTTAAAAGTTGTCAGTTAAACTTGTAAACAGACGTAAGCTCTTGAGACCAACTTCTCACATAATTAGATTGTTCACTGAGCTGATGCCTATGTCTTTGCTTTATGGCATATCACACCAAAAGCAGTCGATAGCTTTGTCGCCCAGCTTCTGAGTTGAGTGCATGGCTTGACACTGTGAGCTGATGTTTTTATTTGGAATGTTTTTTCTACTGTGACCAACGTGGTCGTGTGAATTGTAGATTCAGAAAATGGTGCGATGCCTGTATCGCAATGTTGGTGGTGCCCTTATGTGATTAAAATTGATCGCGTGTGCAACTGCTGATCTGTTGGTGACTGTTGCTACCATTAATGATGAACTGCATTTCTAATGTCGGGCTGTTTGTGTTAGCACTTCCGATGTCTACCGTATGCGTTAATGCGTGTGTATGCTAGATATGCTGAGACAGCAGTCTGTCAATCTTTCCACAAGGGACTGTGATAAACATTATGTGTGTTTTTTGTTTGCACAGGAGCGGAGCAACGATGGGGTGACCCGTGTGTTATGAAGCTGAAACTAAGACTACCAGAAGACTCGCTTTCAAATCCAGCTGCGACTCGCTGCAGCCACGGTCGGTTTTCGAAACCGGATGGTTCGCGGAGTTCACCCAGCCTCTAGGTAATGGATACCAGAGTTGACACTCTGGGGTAAATGGAGGAACGTCGCTGTAGTTACGGAGTTATGTGCGGGCGACGACACAGGCAGACAATTTCCAATCAGCTGTCCCTACTGGTGGCAAAACACTTATGGTTTATAACCGTGTGCAATGATGGTGGTTCACATCTCCGGACTTAACCTTTTACACCAAATTATAAATGTAGCCTTTCTTAGCGATAATAAGTCGTTATACACTGAGATATTTATGTCAGATCCTTTTAGAAAATTCTTAACAAACATTCTTTGTGAATTACGATGTATGTCTTCCAGTGTCACAAAATGGTATCTTTAACATACAAATGTTATCTCTTCACAGTCGTACCATCTTTTGGTAATATTGACAAATACACTTATTTTCCATTGTCTAACAACTCAGTGTGACGCTTCCATAAGCGATAGACAACAATGTTTTGTCCTGTTGTTGTTGTTGTTGTTATCGATCGCCCTTTGGCCCAATGCCATGTAGTGGAATTTGCATGTTTTCACAAGCTGTTCTTCTCCTCCGTACAAGGTGTTCCACTTGTCTGGTCTCGGAGGGAGTAGCGTTCTTCTTGTCTCACTGAGTTTTGGGCACTCAAAGAGATGGTGTTCAACAGTTTCGTAGGAGTAGTTACATAGCTGGCACTCTGGAGAGTGTTGTGGCTGTATTCTGTTTAGGTGTCCAGTTTTGTCCTGAAATCACACAAACAAGAAAGTTTATTGAATTGTCTGGGAAAATACAGTTTCTCATTTTAAAATAAAATAATTATAAATTGAGTTACTAAATTACTTGGTGTTCGAAAGCAATACCCATACTGCAGAACTAATCTCAACAAAGATCAAGCGAATTCATTTGTATCATAGCTTATAATACCAGAGGAACACGTTAACATGTGTAGGTTGATAGATAATCACATCCGGCGGGGAATGCAGAGAGTGGCCAGCGACAGCTAAGGAGGTGGAAGTTCAACAATTTATTCACTACAATTCTCGTCCAGATAATTTGATTATCTGTACAGATGGTTCTGTGTTGACAGTGAGGAAATGTGCACGGGAGCTCGTAGCGAAAGCCAATTGAAAATCATTAGCGCAGGACAGTCTTGAATATGATACCACAACATCTAGCATGAGAATGGAAGTGGAGGCGGTCACTGCAGCGCTCTGGTGGCTAGAGAACAAGATGCATACACATACGTTATTGTTACAGACTCTGGAAGCATGCTGAGAAAAGTGAAGACAGGATGCTTCGAGCAGAGTGACAAGCTTCTCTTTGAAGGCCACGGACAGTGAGCATACTTTGGATTTTTTTAACCCTTTGTTAACAAAATCTTTTACGTGTGTGAGCTTTTTTAGTGCGCAGACTCACTTATCAATATATGCGAAGTAAGGAACAAAGTAGAAGCCATCATACGATACTGAAAGTACTTTATATGAAGCGAACAGAAGAACCCGTTGCAGAGATTTCTTTGTGCCCTGACTCTGCGAAGCATTCCAGGAGTGGAGAAATGTAGAAAGAATAAGAAGTCGCCCTGAAATCAGACATCAGAGGGGCAAGGTTTGTAGCTTTGCGTTAATAGATTTAGTATGCAAGAGATCAAGCGCACCCATGGGCACTACAATGTGCAATGATTGCAATTACAACTTTACGGAAATAATATTATTAAACTGAAGTTACCCATACAGACTCACAACTGTGTAGAACGTACAATGTTTGGAATCCGTGTACACCAAGAACGTCTACTGCCGTTGCAATGCTTTTCTTTCGTTGGTACTGCAGGAGTTACCTCTCCTGCAGTCTTAAAGTGTTAGGCCTTCTCAAACTGTGAACTTTGAAATGAGGTCCTCAGTGCTCTTTGCTTTCGCTTTTCCTCGCCAAACGATTTCCGTGAATTTCTGACAAACATAGCTAAGGAAAACACTCCCTCTGCCGAAAAGCAGTAAGGAAACTGAAAGGCAACCTGCAAATACTAATCGAATCTTGCTACATACTAGTTTTATGAACAGGTGTGACGTAAATATTAAACCAGTGGACTTGAGTGAGGTATACAAATAGAGGCTAGTACTAATACTTTCACTTACTTACGTCATTTTCAGGACATATTTTTTCTTATTTGAAGCCCCCCTCTGGCTTTTGCCAGGGGCCGCAATATAGGCAGGCCATCAATATGGCCAATTGTCTGAACGCGGTTTCTGGGACCTCTCCACGGTGATCCTCATCAGCATGGTGGCACTTTGTGTCATCGGGTGTTTATCGCTTGTGTGATGTCATAGTGGGGTAGAAAGTCAGTCAGTCAACCAGAGGCTAGATCCATAATGAAACAGGACTTTAAAATTACCTTTCAGTGATGTGTTTGTTACATAATCACGTGTAAAACTCGAATCTCGCAATTTTCAGATGTTCACAGTAACGAATCGTCTGCATTTTAGTTCACTATTCTATTCAGTGTTGACTAGCCTAACAGAACATTTAGCTGTATGCCTCCATTAGCTTCTACAAATATGTCAGTCTGTGCTTCAAGCACTGACTAAACACGTAAAATATCGACTACGTGTTTAGTGATTGTAGATAACATAAAATGTCAAATACTTCCGAGGAAAAAATCGAATAACGTTGTAACTTTTTATTTTAACCTGATACATAGAAAAATTGAATAAATTTAGCGAGAAGACCAGTAAAGTTTAATGTTTATTGTGTAAAACAGAATGCTGCACTGGGGTCTTTATGGAGGAAAGCAAACGGGACTTATTTGTTTAACAATTCATCGATCAAAAAGAAAATCCAAAACATGTACTGTTATCAATCAACCAATCAGGTGCCGTCTCTACTGTAAAGATTGACTACAGTAGATCTCCAACACGCTCTGTCCCTTGCCCTGGTTGTACACTCTCTCAGACAGCTGCCCTTCATCTCGTGATGTTGTCCTCCCACTTGTATCGTTGCCCACCTCTTGCTCTCTTGCCTTCGACATACCTTTCCCTTCAGTATTGCTTTTAAAAGCATGTTATTTCCCGTGTGGGTTCCGGGGTCCCATTATAGGGAAAACAAGAAGAGAGCCACTGCCAACCCAAAAGCATGTCGAGTCGAATAATTGGGAGCTTCCTTCGAATTCAAAATGCATTTTTCTGAGAGGCAAGGAACCAACAGTCTGCACACAAATTAGTCGGATCTGTCAAACGGATGCACACGCAACACTCAGGTTTTGGAACAGGACTGCTGTCTAGAAGTGGACAATCAGATCTTTCCAATGGAGTTTGAAGCCGGTAAACGCGAAGAAGAAGAAGAAAATCATGTTACAGTAGAACCTCGCTTAACGAGCACATCTCATAACGAGTAATTCGCATAACGAGCAATACAAATTGTAAAAAAAAAAAATGACTTGCTTAACGAGCGACGTTTCGCATAACGAGTTGCGAGGAGAGGGGAAGTCCCGATTGTGCCCATGTTTCATCAGTCTGTGTTTAGCACTCGTTCCAGTAGTGTCGCTTGTGATCACACATTTTCTCAAGCTTGTGTTATATTGTGATACATGAACATGAATCCCCCAGGACTACAAGATGACCTCCCTGAAGAATATAACTTCATCAAGATCCAGTTTCTGCCTCCCAACACCACTCCGTTACTCCAGCCCATGGACCAGCAAGTTATTTCTAACTTTAAAAAGCTCTACACTAAAGCACTATTCGAGCATTGTTTTCAGGTGACTGAAGGGACCAACCTCACTCTCAAAGAGTTTTGAAAAAACCACTTCTACATCTTTGCCTGTCTCAAGATGATCAACAAGGCGGGGGAAGGGATTACTAAGAGAACCCTAACTTCTGCTTGGAAGAAGTTTTGGCCGGAAAGCCTTGTCGATTTGTGACTTTGAGGGGTTTGAGGCAATACCTATGTCAACGAGATTGTGTCTTTGGCCACTATCATTGGATTGGAGATGCATAACAGTGATATCGAAGAGCTTGTGGAAGAGCACAGCAGAGAGCTGACCACCGAAGAAGAGCTTATGGAGTTGCATTGTGTTTCACAGCAAGAAGTTTTGGGAAAACGTTTGTCAGAGGAG